AGTTATTCTCATTAGGTGCTTATCATTTTTAACAATCTTTTCAAAAAAATTTGGGGTTAAGTTTCTCTCTTTGTATTCGTTATTCTCTTTTTTTGTGTTTTCTTTTTTCTATTTTAGGACTAATTTGATCTTCTGTTTCTAAATTCATAAGATGGACATTCAGATAACAGATTTTCAAGCTTTCTCTTTTTAAAGATTAATCATTTAAGATTACAAATTTTCCTTTAAACACTACTTTACCTGCTTCCTTCTTTTACATGTCTTAACATGTGGTATTTTCATTATCACAACTTGAAAATATTTTCTCATTTATTTGATTCTTTATGGATTGTGAAAAAGTCTGATTATTTTTTGTTAAGATTTATTTATTTGAAAGTCAGAGATGGAGAGGAAGAGACAGAGAGAGAGGACTTCCACCCACTGGCTCACTTCCCAGATGGTCACAACAACCAGGGATGGACCAGGCTGAAGCCAGGAGCTTTTTCCAGGTCTCCCATGTGGGTGCAGGGACTGAAGCACTTGGGCATCTTCCTCTGCTTTCCCAGGCCATCAGCAGTGAGCTGGATCAGAAGAGGAGCAGCCGGGACTCGAAACCGTGCCCATATAGGATGCAGGTGCCGTAGGAGGTGGCTTTACCAGCTACACCATAACTTCTGTCCCAGTTAATTTCCAGCATGTAAGAGTTTTTGAGATCTGTTAGTGTTAGCATTTGTGACTAACTCTGCTATGATCAGAGCACTCCTCCATCAGTTTGAAACTTCTGAAGTTGTTGGAAGCTCTTCTCACTTTGATGTGTGCTCTGTTCTTCAAGAATAGTCCAGGGCCGGTGCCGCAGCTCACTAGGCTAATCCTCCGCCTGCGGCGCCGGCACACCGGGTTCTAGTCCCGGTCAGGGTACCGGATTCTGTCCCGGTTGCCCCCCTTCCAGGCCAGCTCTCTGCTGTGGCCCGGGAATGCAGTGGAGGATGGCCCAAGTGCTTGGGCCCTGCACCCCATGGGAGACCAGGAGAAGCACCTGGCTCCTGCCATCGGATCAGTGCGGTGCGCTGGCCGCAGCGGCCATTGGAGGGTGAACCAACGACAAAAGGAAGACCTTTCTCTCTGTCTCTCTCTCTCTCACTGTCCACTCTGCCTGTCAAAAAAAAAAAAAAAAAAAAAAAAGACTAGTCCAGGTACCTGAAAGAAACAGGTGTGGTGTGGTTGCTGGATACGCTGTCAATCGAGTGACGTGGGCGGTTCGTGTTTTCCAGATCTTAATTAAGATTGGACGACACGGGACACCGTGTCCGTTTCTTCCTTCTGTTCGGCCTTTTCTGCTTTCGGGTGTTGGGGAAGTGCGCGTTTTGAGTTCGTGCCCACTTAGAGTTGCCCTGCTTCCTTGGCGACTTGGGTTTTCACATCAGGTGCACCCCCTTCAGCTCAGGGGTGCTCGTTGCCTTGTGGACCATCGTGGTCTGGAGATAACCTCGTCGGCTGTTCACAGAGATTGTAGTTTTAGCTGCAGCAGGTGCACCTATGACGTGACCGTGCATCCGTCTGGTTCACTGTCTGCCATAGCCCAGTTTTACCACTAGGTACATTCAGATCAGCCCTGCATCTGTGAGACGTTCAGTCCATTTACAGCTCATGTAATATTGTTTTGTTCAGAAATACTGCGGAGTTTTAAAAATTTGTCCCTTCTGTTTTTTTTTTTTCTTTCTCTGTTGTTCCTTTGCTTTCTTCTTCGAGGTTAATTGAAAAATGTTTAATTTTCCTTTTTACCTCTCTCTTAGTTCTTAAACTATTTTTTAAAGATTTATTTATTTACTTGAAAGAGTTACACAGAGAGAGAAGGAAAAGCAGAGGCAAAGAGAGAGAGGTCTTCCATCTGCTGGTTCACTCCCCAGATGGCCGCAATGGCCGGAGCTGCGCCGATCCGAAGCCAGGAGCCAGGAGCTTCTTCTGGGTCTCCCACGTGGGTGCAGGGGCCCAAGGACTTGGGCCATCTTCTACTGCTTTCCCAGGCCATAGCAGAGAGCCAGACCAGAAGTGGAGCAGCTGGGTCTGGAACCAGCACCTATATGGGATGCCGGCACCACAGGCAGTGGCTCAACCCACCAGGCCACTGTACCGGCCTCTTAAACTATTTCTGTTTCAGGACTTGCTATAGGCATGCATTAGTCATCTTTTATTCCATTTTCCTTATTTTCTTAGTTGTTCCTCTCCACATGTTCCCCCTCCCAGCTCACACATCCCACATCATCATTGAGGGCACTTCTGTTGGAGGAGTTCCGTGGAACTGTCCCTTGTCCACTCTCCTGTTGTTCCCCTTCACATATATCAGTCATTGGACATTGTTCCACAGGTCTCTGAAATGCTCTTCATTTAAAAAACTTCTTTAAAGATTTTATTTATTTATCTGAGAGGCAGAGTTACAGACAGAGGGAGAGGCAGAGAGAGAGGTCTTCCACCTGCTGGTTCACTCCCCAGATGGCTGCAATAGCCAGAGCTGAGCTAATCCAAAGCCAGGAGCCAGGAGCTTCTTCCAGGTCTCCTACATGGGTGCAGGGGCCCCAGCACTTGGGCCATCTTGTACTGCTTTCCCATGCCACAGCAGAGAGCTGGATCTGAAGTGGAGTAGCTGGGACTCTAACTGGCGCCCGTATGGGATACCTGGCACCACATGCAGAGGTTTAGCCAACTACGCCACAGCACTGGCTCCTAAAAACAAAGTTAATTGTTTATTTGGAAGGCAGAGAGGCAAATAATAAGGCATGGGGGAGGGAGGGAAGGAGGGAGAGAGAGGAGAGATCTTCCATCCCCTGGTTCATTCCCCAAATTCTGGAGCTGGGCCAGGCTGTAGCCAGGAGCCTGGAACTCACTGTGCCCCCAGCGGCCTCTGGAAGTGCACGTTAGCAGGAAGCCGGAGCGGAAACAGAGCCAGGGCTCGGCCCAGGGACTTTGGATCGGGCTGGGAGCATCGACGGCTGCCGCCCTGGTCGCTCCTCCTTCCATCGTCTTATGCTCTCTTCTTCCAGCTGAGTCGCTGCCCCTGGTCTCTGAGTTCACTCGCTCACTTTTCCTGCCACCTCCGGTGTCTGTGAACCTTCCCTCCGGGAGCTTTGGTTCTGGTCCTGGTTCCATTCCTCTTGTGTGGACTTTCTGTTTCCCATCTGATGCAGCTCCTTGGTTAACGTTTGGAACCCTCTTTTCCGAATGTGTTTATAAAAACTGCCGTGAAGTCTGCTGGGTCCGTGTGCGTGGACCCAAAGTCTGTTTCTGTAGATCATTTCTGTCTCCTGACCGTGGGACGCGAGTTTGTTTTTTCACGTGTGCCAATCGTGCTGATTGTATATTGGAGAGTGTGGGTGACCGGCCGTAGGAGCTGGATTTCGCTTGCTTTCTCTACAGCGTGTTGATCTGTGGCCTTGTGGGAACTGAACACGTGGACGTCGCGTTGACCGTTCTGCACATTGGTGGGTGGGATCTGCCGCAAACCGATCGAGTTTGCCAAGCTCTTCACGTGGGCGAATCACAGTGATCAAACCTCAAGATGTCAGTTGGTGCACATTAAATGTTTTATACTCTTCATAGTAGCTACAAAAAAATCAGAGAAGATATGGGATATTTGTCATTGAGGGGGTCTAGCTTATTTTACTAAGCATAATTTTAATCACATATTAAGTTTCCCCCTGAATTTTTTGGTTTGATTTCAAAATGAGGACCTCCAGGAAGAGCCAACATAAGACGTGCTTCTTGCTCCATGAAGATAAATGATATGTGTTGTTTGTAAGTCCGTTACATGCACAGGTTAGATGTCAACACCACTCTCTTCAGGTTATAAATGTGTGAAAGTTATTCACATGTTAAAGTATTTCCAGATTTTCATCTGGGTGCGTATTAGTTTTTAAGCCCAAGTTTACCACAAATATTCACGTCTGTATATATTCACGAATCTTCCCCTGGTGACACAAATGTGAATAACCGGTGCCATATATTTCATATGTGATAGTAGGGGTCTTTTACCCCTCTGCATGTGGCAACTCAGTTCCATTCATCTCCACAAACCATTCATCAAAAACCGAAAGAAGAGGAAACGATTATTAAATGCTTTCCTATCTGTTCAGCGTGGAAATTCTCTTAGATCTGGCTCGCCAGGGAGCGATAGACAAAGAGGCTGCCTTTGGTGGAAGCAGACTCAGCAGTGTTGAAGCAGACGGTATCTTTAAGGAGCTCTTCCCGTGGAGTGGTTTCTTCTGAGGGAGACCAGATGGCGCCACCAGCCGGAAGGCTGCTGCTGCTCCCCTGTGGCGTGCTTCGGCAGGACAGCTGGCGTAGCCGAGTGAGTCATCTGGCATAAGATGTTCCACGTCTGCTCACCTCGGGGGCAGGAGTCCGCAGCAGACCCCGGCCTCTGAGTCCCGGGAGTCGGCCCTGGAATGAAGTTATTAATGGCGTGCATTAGCCTCAGCTGCCATTCCCTCCAGGGAGGAGAAATCGCACGGACACCTCGTCGGTGGTGTGCAATGTCTCTCCATGGTGATGGTTTGCTTTGAAATGTCTCTCCAGATTGACAGCTTTGAGAGGGTCATGTGGTCTGGGTTCTAAACAAAGCAGAAATGTCTCTGTTAAGAATGTTGGGAAGAAAAGCCCACCCACAGTTTACAGTAAGGACAGGGAGTGCTGTCATCAACGCACACCAGGACCTGGCCCCAGAGGAAATGCTGTCCCTGCTTCTGGCTGCTTCAGCCCATGCTGCAGAAAGCATGGTGTGGCGTGGAAGTCACTCTGAAAACAGAGTTCTTGGGGCCAGCGCTGTGGCATAGCGGGTAAAGCCACCGCCTGCAGTGCTGGCATCCCATATGGGCACCAGTTGGAGTCCCAGCTGCTCCACTTCTGATCCAGCTCCCTGCTAATGTGTCTGGGGATGCAGCAGAGGATGGCCCAAGAGCTTGGGCCCCTGCACCCTCCCCCTCCTCCCTCCCCTCCCCTCCTCCTCTTCCCCTCCCCCTCCCCCTGTCTTCCCCAGGGCCATGTCAGGCCCTGGTGCTACTCCTGTCCTATTGCACCGGCTGCACCTGCACTGTGGTTCCAGCCAGGGGACCGTGAGCTCTGTGCAAGAACAATGACTCTCGAACCTGGAATTGGCTCCGTGTCGTTGGCTGTGCTGCTCTGGGTTCTGGGTTTTTGGCATGGGAAGGTCTGCATGTTGGCGTGTGTTGTGTAGGTGGAGCCCTCAAACTGCACCATCACGGGGACCCCCTGACCTTTTCCCTTTCCCAGTGTCGCCCCACTTTTTATCCTAACTTGACCTTGGCGTTGGTGTTTCTGAGAGTGATACAGAAGTTTGCAGATGTTCACAACTTAGACAAATCTAATTATGCCCCCAACGCTCTTCTGCTACTCTCTTGTTTTTTTTTGTAATTAAAAAAAGAGTCAATTGTAGCAAAAGGCGCCTGACATTAAATTCACCATCTTACGCTTTCGAAGCAGACGGTTCAGTACTGTTGGGTCCATTCACATTGCTGTGCAGCCAGTCTCCAGGACTTTGCCATCTTGCAGAACTGGAGCTGTGTCCCCACAAAAGGACTCCCCACGCCCCTCCTCCCCGCCACGCCGGGTCTCTGTGTGCCTGAATGAGTACCCTGAGCCCCTCAGATGAGGGCAGTCCCACCAGTCTGCTCCCGGCAGCCAGCTAACTGCACTTGCCGTAGCATCCTCAATGTTCACTTAGGTCGTAGCAGGTGCATTTCTTTCCTTTGGAAGGTCGAAGGCGTCTTTCTGCTGCACCGGTCCACGTGATGCTCACGGGGTAACCTGTGATGTGCACGGCTGCCGTCAGTTTCCACTGCTGTACAGGGAGTATTCCCAATGCTCACGGCAGTGAGGTCGCCTCTTGGCCTGCACGCACCCCCGTCCGAGGGCTCGGGTTTCAGTCCCAACTCAGCTTCCAGTTCCAGCTTCCTGCTGATGGGCACCCTGAGAGGCAGCCATGACAACTCAAGTACTTAAGTCCCTGCCACCTATGTGGACTCTCAATTTGGGTTCCAGACTCCTGGCTTTGAAGCCTCACCCAGCCCTGGTCATTGCAGGCATTTGGGGAGTGAACCAGTGAATGGGAGGTGTCTATTTCTCTCCCCCTCCCTCCCCTCCCTCCCTCTCCTTGCTCTCTGTCTTTCAAATAAATAAAACAAAATGTTTTAAAAAGTTTATGTATTAGGGAGAAACTATGCATGGATTTCACAACACTTTGTAAGCTTACTTTTAATTCTGTTTTCCCACAAACTTTGACATATACTTGTGTTACTATTTTATAGTTAATATCATATAATTATTCTGTAACTTATTTATCCTTTATATTTTTAAAATATTTATTTATTTGAAAGGCAGAGTTGGGGAGAGAGAGGCACAGAGAGAGGTCTTTCATCTGCTGATGCACTCCCCAGATGGCTGCAACAGCCAGGGCTGGACCAGGCTTGAACCCAGGGGCCCGGAACTCCATCCAGGTCTCCTACATTGGTGCAGGTCCTTTTCTGCCTTCCCAGGCACATGAACATGGAACTGGGTTGGAAGTGGAGCAGCCAGGACTTAAACCGGCACCATACGTGTTGCCAGTGCTGTAGGTGTCAGCTTAACCTGCTGTACCCAAGCGCTGGCCCCATCTTTCTGTATTTTTTTCCTGGACTTTGACTTGCTTCCAGGCCTGTTTGCTTGCGTTGTAGTCAGCACACTCGTTTGTGTCATCCGATTCACCTGTGCCAGCGGTGGTCTAGCGTGCACACCGAGGGAAGTGTGTGACAGGGTGCGCACAGGCCAGCTCCACCGGATAACACCACATCAGTGTCCAGCACCTTCCTACTGAGTTCTCCTGGTGAGAGTTCCTAGTAGCTCCCATCACCGCCAGCACTGAGGTCGTCAGAACTTTACTGGCTACTAGCTCGAGGAGGGGCAGCGGGATCTCCTTGCTGTCGGATTTTCATTTAGCTGATTGCTGCTGAAGTTGGAGCATCTTTCTGTGTATCTGACTTGAATCCTCTGATTTATTTTTGGATTAGAAGAGAAAGAATATGAGTGGAGAGAGAGAGAAGTGTGCTACAGGAAGCCTGGAACTGTAGCTCTAACTGACCATAACCCTGGCAGTGTTTCCCCCACTGGAGCCATTTAAGTTTATAAAGTAAGCACTGATCAGTGGCGTCAGCCTTTTTTAAAGGTTTATTTATTCCATTCGAAAGGCAGAGCAACAGAGAGTGAGAGATGGAGACTGAGAAATCTTCCATCTGCTGGTTCACTCCCCAGGTGGCCACAACAGCTGGAGCTGGGCTGATCTGAAGCCAGGAGCTTCCTCTGGGTCTCCCACGTGGGTACAGGGTTCCAAGCACTTGGGCCATCTTCCGATGCTTTCCCCGGCACATTAGCAGGGAGCTAGATCAGAAATGGAGCTGCCGGGACTTGAACCAGTACCCAAAGGGATGTGGTGTCACAGGCAGAGGCATAACCTACTGCGGCACGGTGCTGGCCTCTGGCTTCTGTCTTGGTCCTGAGTGGCATCGTGTGGCCAGACCATGAGAAAACAGAGGAGCAGAGTCTGTCTTTCTGGCTGAAAGGGGTGTGTGTGTCTAAGTCTAAAATCCCGCCCAAGTTAAAGCAACAGTTCCCTAAGACGACTCTTAGATTCATTAGGTGAATACATAGGTTGGTGGTTTTTAGCCTGATTTACTCTGTTCCTCATTTGCTCCCTGCTCGCTACCACTGAAGCTGGTTGCAGATGTCTGTGATGGTTCCCGCTGGGGACAGCAGTGCTGCCAGGTGACGTTTGGATATTTGTGAGGACTTTCCTGGCACTGATTGGCGGGGAACCATGAATGTGATGATGAGCTCGTCCAGACAATAAGGAATCATTCCCCGAATCATAGATCATTTGGTGTTGACACAGTGACAGTCGGATGTTTGTGTGGTTCCCATGTACCATGTAGGTGACATGGGTGATGGTCAGATGTTTGTGTGGTTCCCATGTAGGTGACACGGGTGCTGGTCGGGTGTTTGTGTGGTTCCCATGTACCATGTAGGTGACACGGGTGATGGTTGGATATTTGTGTGGTCCCCATGTACCATGTAGGTGACACGGGTGATTGTTGGATGTTTGCATGGTTCCCATGTACCATGTAGGTGACACAGGTGATGGTCGGGTGTTTGTGTGGTTCCCATGTACCATGTAGGTGACACAGGTGATGGTCTGATGCTTGCATGGTCCCCATGTACCACATAGATGACACGGGTAATTGTTGGATGTTTGCATGGCTCCCATGTAGCATGTAGGTGACATGGTTGATCATTAATGTTTGCGTGATTCCCATATACTATGTAAGTGGCACAGGTGATGGTCGGGTATTTGTGTGGTCCCCATGTAGGTGACACGGGTGATGGTTGGATGTTTGTATGGTCCCCATGTAGGTGACACGGGTGATGGTTGGGTGTTTGCATGGTTCCCATGTAGGTGACATGGGTGATGGTTGGATATTTGTGTGGTTCCCATGTAGGTGACACGGGTGATGGTCAGGTGTTTGGTTCCCATGTACCATGTAGGTGACACGGGTGATGGTCGGGTGTTTGTGTGGTTCCCATGTAGGTGACATGGGTGATGGTTGGGTGTTTGCATGGTTCCCATGTAGGTGACACGGGTGATGGTTGATGTTTGTGTGGTCCCCATGTAGGTGACACGGGTGATGGTTGGGTGTTTGTGTGGTTCCCATGTACCATGTAGGTGACACGGGTGATGGTTGGATGTTTGTGTGGTCCCCATGTAGGTGACACGGGTGATGGTCAGGTGTTTGTGTGGTTCCCATGTAGGTGACACGGGTGATGGTTGGGTGTTTGCCTGGTTCCCATGTAGGTGATACAGGTGATGGTCAGGTGTTTGTGTGGTTCCATGTAGGTGACACAGGTGATGGTTGGATGTTTGTGTGGTTCCCATGTAGGTGACACGGGTGATGGTCAGGTGTTTGTGTGGTTCCATGTAGGTGACACAGGTGATGGTTGGGTGTTTGCCTGGTTCCCATGTAGGTGACACAGGTGATGGTTGGATGTTTGTGTGGTTCCCATGTAGGTGACACGGGTGATGGTTGGATGTTTGCCTGGTTCCCATGTAGGTGACACGGGTGATGGTTGGATATTTGTGTGGTCCCCATGTAGGTGACACGGGTGATGGTTGGGTGTTTGCGTGGTTCCCATGTAAGTGACACGGGTGATGGTTGGATGTTTGCCTGGTTCCCATGTAGGTGGCACGGGTGATGGTTGGATGTTTGTGTAGTTCCCATGTAGGTGACATGGGTGATGGTTGGGTGTTTGCGTGGTTCCCATGTAGGTGGCACAGATCGTCATCGGATATTTGCGTGGTTCCCATGTAGCACATAGGCTCATGTTACAGGACTCACGTTGGTTAGTCTTGCAGCAAGTGGTGAGGCCGGAGCTTACTGCAGGCAGCAGGGCCTGGGTGCTCACCGAGTGCCCTCCGCAGGGCTTCGTAGAGGACCTCGTGTACGGAGCATAGAGGAGGGGTGATGGGAAGGAGGACGAGAACAGAGTTCATTGTCAGAGACGGGGAGAGAGAACTCCTGTGGGCTGGCTGACTCCCGATGCCTGAAGCAGCTGGGGCTGGGCCAGGCTGACTCTAGGAGACGGGACCACAGTCTAGGTCCCCACAACGGCAGAGACCCAGCCTCTGAGCCCTCACCCGCTGCCTGCGGGAAGCACAGTGGTAGGAGCCAGGAGCCAGGCACTGTGGCTGATGGCTGCATGTGTCCTAACCAGCCCCTGACCGGCTGGCGGATGCCTGTCCCACGTGGGAGCCAGGCACTGTGGCTGATGGCTACAGATTTCCTAACCAGCCCCCTGACCACCAGGTGGACACCGGCCCCACAGAAGGGACTTTTTTTTTTTTTAAGATTAATTTTATAGGCCGGCGCCGCAGCTCACTAGGCTAATCCTCCGCCTAGCGGCGTCGGCACACCGGGTTCTAGTCCTGGTCGGGGCGCAGGATTCTGTCCCGGTTGCCCCTCTTCCAGGCCAGCTCTCTGCTGTGGCCAGGGAGTGCAGTGGAGGATGGCCCAAGTGCTTGGGCCCTGCACCCCATGGGAGACCAGGAAAAGCACCTGGCTCCTGGCTCCTGCCATCGGATCAGCACAGTGCGCCGGCCGCAGCACGCCGGCCGCGGCGGCCATTGGAGGGTGAACCAACGGCAAAGGAAGACCTTTCTCTCTGTCTCTCTCTCTCTCACTGTCCACTCTGCCTGTCAAAAAAAAAAAAAAGATTAAAAGATTAATTTTATTTATTTGAATGTCAGAGGTACAAAGTTAGAAAGACCAAAAATCTTCCATCTGCTGGTTCATTCCACAGATGTCCACAATGGCTGGGGCTGGGCCAGGCCAAAGCCTGGAGGCCTGGAGGTAGGAGTTTCTCCCAGGTGGTGCAGGGGCCCAAGTGCTTGGCCCTTCTTACGCTGCTTTCCCAGGCAATTAGCAGGGAGCTGGATCAGAAGTGGAGCAGCCAGGACTTGAACCAGTGCCTATTAGGGATGCTGGCACTGCAGGTGGTGGCTTTAACCCACTACGCCATAGCCCTGGCCCCGGGGGAAGGATCTTGAAGTGCGCTGGAGCAGTTGGAGCCGAGCCAATTTCAATGAACAATGTTTGGTTTGTTTGCACTATTTTAGAGGAATATACGAGTGTAGGAGGATGAAGCCCCCGTTTGTTACTATAAAGTGGTTCTTGCTGTTAGCCAGACAAATGCCAGAAATGGGAAGAAGCTGAAGAACTTCCGTGCTGCCTCCTTTGAGACTTTGATTTCTTGTGAAGTTATAAAATCAAGCAGATTCAATGTCTGGCGTTGCCTTAGAAACCTCCTACAGGGAACTCCTTTGTTTCCATCACATACTGTGATTCTTCGATAGATGTTAGGAAAAGTTGCTGGGAAGACTTTAAGGGAGATGGGGTCCCTTCTTCTGCCCACTCATCACGGCACCCCATAACAAAAAGGCAAAAGCACAACAAATTTATGACATCAGTGTTTTTGTTTTTTTAAAAGATTTATTTATTTGCAAGGGGGAGAGAGAGAAATGGCGGCAGCAGGGCGGGGGTTGTCTTCCATCTGCTGGTACCCTCCCCAAATGCCCACAACAGCTGGGCCCAGGCCAGCCTGAAGCCAGGAGTCAGGAACTCCATCCTTGTCTCGCACATGGGTGCAGGGCCCCAAGCACTTGGACCATCTTCTGCTGCTTTTTCAGGCGCATTAGTAGGAAGCTGGATTGGAAGTGGAGCAGCCGGGACTCAAAATGGTGCTCATGTGGGATACTGGTGTTGCCCCAATGCCCGCCCCTGTGCCTTCAGAGTTGTACCTGAAACAGCACCGTCAGAAACAAAGACCCAAAGGCACAGGGCGAGGTGTTCTTCTAAGAGTGCCCAGTAGACACGGAGAGGGATGACTGGATGCTAGGGGTTTAATGGAATGGGTCGGGATGGGGGCTGAAGCCAGGTCTGTTGGTGCAGACCCTCCTTGTATATCCATCCTCATGCCTGTCCCCTGGGTATCAGGCAGAACACCTGCCACAGGAGTGTCCCATGGCCTGATGTCGGAGAGATCTGAGACAGCTCCCATGGCCAATTCTACACACGGAACGCTGGGAGAAGCTTGAGTTTTTCAGTTGATAAGGTACCATATTGGGGGTTACGTTTCCTGCACTCTATCACTTTCTTTTTTAAAAGGTTTATTTATTTTCGGCCGATGCCACGGCTCACTAGGCTAATCCTCCACCTGCGGCACCGGCACACCGGGTTCTAGTCCCAGTTGGGGCACCGGTTCTGTCCCAGTTGCTCCTCTTCCAGCCCAGCTCTCTGCTGTGGCCCTGAGAGTGCAGTGGAGGATGGCCCAAGTGCTTGGGCCCTGCACCCCATGGGAGACCAGGAGAAGTACCTGGCTCCTGCCTTCAGATCAGCGCGGTGCGCCGGCCAGAGCGGCCGTTGGGGGGTGAACCAACAGAAGGAAGACCTTTCTCTCTGTCTCTCTCACTGTCTAACTCCGCCTGTCAAATAGAAATAAATTTAAAAAAAGATTTATTTTCAAAGTCAGTTACAGAGAGAGAGAGAGATTGATCGCCACTGGATCACTCCTGAGATGGCTGCGTTGGCCAGGGTGGGCCAGGCCGAGCCCACGAGCTTCTTCCGGATCTCCCGCATGGGTGCAGCAGCCATCTTGGGCCATCTTCTGCTGCTTTTCCAAGTCATAGGTAGGGAGCTGGATCAGAGATGTGACAGCCAGGACTCAAACCTGTGCCCATATGGGATGTCGGCGTCACAGGTGGCGGCTTTACCCACTACGCCACAGCATCGCCCCCCACCATCACTTTCTAACCCTGGAGTTGGGGTACTAGTCTGTGATCCCCGATGTTAAACAAAGGAGAGTGACCAAGTATCTGCCGATTACCAGGGCTTGGCAAACTCATCTGCTCCCAGCTTGGCATGTCAGTGCTGGCGTGGGCAAAACCGGCCCCAGGCAGTTCTAGGAGAGGGTCTTTCTGCATGTCTGTAGGTTTGTTCCGCCTCTCTCCACCTCTCTTCCCCGCTCCCATCAGTAACCTAGAGGAGTTCCACAGAGGGAAAGACTGTGTGTGTGAGTGTGCAGTTGGATAATGACCCCTGATAAAGCTTTCAGAGGGCATGGCGGGTGGAAATGCGAGCGGCATTGAAGACGTCTTAGCATCACAATGTGTGCACAATGCACTACATGGGCATCACATGGACTAGTATCAGAGGCTCTGAGGGTGCTTTGTAGGCATTTGAGGATGGCAGTGAGGTCAGGAGCCGCCTGAGCCGGGGTCGGGCTGTGCCCTGTGCTCCCCGTGGGAGTGATCTGCTGGGTGTGTGTGTGACAGGGTCCCGGCAGGCACCTGCAGAAGCGGTAATTTCACATTTGCCAGGTCTGGGAGGGTAGACACAGCTCTTCTTCTATGCATTGGCCAGGATGGGCTAAGGTTTACTGTGCTTACGACAACCCCAGCGAATTTTTGGCTTGACACAAGAGCATGGCTCACTCATGCCAGCTGCCAGCTCCAAGACCACTTTAGATAGCCAGCAGTCCCCAACTGGTCGGAGTTCTGTAGAAACCCCTCAAACGAGGTCCTGCCACCTGACTACAGAAAGCCAGTCACTGGCATCAGGCTGGTGGAGGAAGGCAGGTGCTGGTTTGCAGAGCGTGGTGGCTCTCGCTTAATTCCCACGGCTGCCAGAGGTGTTCAGGCTGAGGGCTCTCCTGGATGGACGTGTGGGCTGGAAGGTGTGTGTTCAGCTCGTGTCCAAGGTGTTGGCTGGCCTGCTGAGAGTAGAGGGGGCTTCAGATGGTCTGGGGGTTATTTTGTGCTCTGGGCCTGGGGTTCTGGGAAAAGAAGTCCCTGGAGACACAGCAGTGTGGAGATGTTCTCTGTAGGGGAGGTACAGAGATCAGAATCTGGCTGGGCCGGCCGCACCTCTCCCACAACCCATTGAGTGATGAATTGGCCACCGGGGACACCAAGTTAAGGGGATCAGCAGGGGCAGGGTGGGGCTGGGTGGCCAACGCCTGATGGGTTCACTTTTGCAGGGGGATATTACTGCTTCAGGCTGGCCTCCTGGAGGGCAGCAGGGGAGATGGACCATGGCTTAGGAAGGGCCACGTGCCTCTTCGGCTGAGTTTGTGCAATTCACATGGCCCCCTGCACGTGGGCGAGTGGATAAACGCAGCCACTGAACCAGAAAGAAACGAGAGCGTGAGACGTCAGTGAGCAACACTGATCATGTGGTCTTCAAGGAACTCTGTCGTCTTTTCCTTGCTCTGTTGGGGAAGAAAAAAAAAAGAATCTGAAAGTTTATGCTTGGGGTTTTGAAACAGTTTTTGCACCCAACTAAATTGGCTTTTTAATTAATAGTTACAGAGAGAGGGAGACAGATCTTCCATCTGCTGGTTCACTCCCCAGGTGGTCACAAAGGTTGAGGCTGGGCCAGGCCAAAGCCAGGAGCCTGGAGCTCCATCTGGTCTCCCATGTGGGTGCAGGGGCCCAAGGACTTGGGCCATCCTCTGCTGCTTTTCCTAGCCCATAGCAGGGAGCTGGGTTGGCAGTGGGGCAGCCGGGACATATGGGATGCAGGCATTGGCAGGCCGCAGCTTACCCCTGCTGTACCACCACTGTGGTTCTGGTTGTGTTTGAGCCAAGTGCTTTTCTGTTCCTGAATGAAGGAAAGGAGGTCTTCCCTCCTCCAGGATTCCCTGGGCCCCACACCGACTTTGCTAACTTCCCTGGGGGGTCTGTGAGTTCTTTGGGGGCAGAGGTGAGGGGGTACAAGGAGTGTGCATGAGAATTAGAGGGTGGAGATTGGGTGGAGGGGTGCTGAGGGTCGCTGTTGATGAACTCCAAGGCAGGCTACTGAAAAACTTCTGGTTCCAAGCTGGAACGCAGGGGAGTTCTTCCAAGACTGACGTCTCTGCCTCTGTCTCTGATTCTGCCCCTACATATTGGCCAGGTCAGCAGGAACCCAGGCAGGCAGCTCTGCAGGCTGCTTCCTGCTCCTTTGTCACACAGTAAGGCGGGGCTGGCCCGCTGTGTTCGCCCCATCGGCCCTCCATCCACCAAGCCAGTGTCCCCTGGTTCCTGTCCTCCCGTGAGCACAGGTGCCAAGGGGTTGGAGGTGCCTCATTCTCCGCACAGCCGGAGGACTGCATAGGGTGCCCACCCGACTGGGCTGGGTTTGCAAGGAGGGGCCCCTACCCCTGAGTCGTACAGCTCAGTACGTCTGGCTGAGGAAGGGTCCCTGCAGCCACGGGGTAGAGGAGAAGTGGCCACGGCTCCTCTGCTGGCCGGAAGTCCCTTCCAGGCAGGGGGAGCTCGGCGTTGAAGTCAGGCTGCAGCGTCCAGGGGCACCTGCTCGCGGTGTAACAGGGGCGTCTCTGAGGCCAGTCCCAGTGTGCACACTTGGGTTTTCCCATGACCCTCGTATGCAGTGACAGCCGCTCTTACTCAGCCACCGGGGCTCAGTGGAAGCCACACTGAAGCCATCATCCCCCAGCCTCGGGTGCTCTGGGTCGGGCTTGGGGACTGTAACTGCCCATGCAGCTCTCTGGACACAAGTCCAGCACAGTTCTCTTTTTGTCACATCTCTTGAAAAGGGGAAGAAGTAACTGCTTGGGTGACAGTCACCCCACGTTCAGCTGCAACACAGACCGAAGCGGGGGCTCCCAGCCGGGTACCAGGATGGGGCCATGGAGCAGCCAGGGCTGGAGCAG